TCTTCTTCCACTGGGTGAAGTCTTGCAGATTTTTCAGCCTGGATTGGCTCAGAAATGGAGTCCTTCCCAACTCAGCCTCCCAGGTAGTTGAGACAACAAGAGCACACCAACAACCCTGCTAGTTCTATATGAATGGCCTGAGTATACTCAAAGCAGGATTCTCCTCATCTTTGCCTCCCTAGTAGCTGAGTATGGAGCCCTGAGCCACCCCATCTGGCAGTCTCCTGAATTTCAGATAGATGATACCAAGTTTTTTCTTTATACTGTTGAGCAGTTCTGCTACCTTATTATATTCTTTCAACAATCACATATGTGCTGCTGTTAAGTCAGGTGGGGTATCCTGGTGGTCAAACATGAAAGGAAGGCAAGGGAGGAATCTTTCCTTCTTTATGGCTCAGACCCATGAGCTCAGTTTAGAAATCTTAGTGAGAGAAGAAAACAGAGAATCTGAGTAAGAATCAGTATCTGTCTGGCTGACTTTTCTAGGAGGAAACACTCACTTATCTACCTGGTATCTATGTGACCATACTGAGAACCACAAGAAAGGGATTTCCTATATTCAGGTGATCACATGCTAGGGCAATCTGGTTTTGTTTGGTGGAAGCTGACTGGAACATGTGAAGAACTCAACTTTCTTGCACAATGAAAGGCTTGGTTAGCCATGGAGACCTATGAGCTATGCTGGCCAGTAGGGAAAAGAAAGTACAGCAGATACACAGAGAAATAGAAATGCCAGGAAGATGAGAAAAAAAAAAAAAACTTGCTTAATAGTTCAAGAAAGATGGAACTTCACTGACCAAGCTGAGGAGTGTCTATTCCTGTAACAAAATTCACATAAACAATGGAAGAGAAGCAAGTTAAGTGAGCTTTTATTACATCTAATGTACTTTCTGAGTATTTAATGGATTTCCATATTTACACTGGCAACTCCACTCAAAATATATGCTTTGGTACAAGCCAGTTCTGCTTTATCAACTTCCACTAAAAGTAAAACAAGTGTAATATCTAGTCCTGAACTGTGTAGGCACTAGTAAGGCAAATGTGCTTATTAATCGCTGAAAATGTGTAGGGGGGGTTGGTATATTGGGTATACTAGGGGAAGACCTTGAAGAGAGCTGAGATGGGGAGGCTGTAGGTGAGATCTCGGAAGTAGGGGAAAGGGAGTGGAAAGGAGGAGGGGTGCAGGGGGGGGCGGGGAAAGAGTCCAGGCACATTTACTGGGTCTCACAAGCCCATAGCTACTTAGGTTCATTTCTGGTTTAGTTCAGAAAGGCAATCCCAGGAGAATGGCTGATCTAAGTTACAGAATTCAGGAGCACCAGCTCTGGGCAAATAGGAGAGCCCAGATGGATGGTGCTGGAAGAAAAGCTGATTCTCCACCAGGATTAGGGACACTGGAGGAAAAATGAATAAAGAGGTGAGAAGAAGGGATTGACTGGATGTGAAATTTCCCTGGAGGCAACTGCTAAAACATCAAAGTATAGGTGCTGAAAAGTAGAGTCAGGAAAGAGACTTTTAGTGATACACTGCCCCATGCAGCAGCTTTCTAATCCATTTCCTGAGTTCATGGTTGTGTTCTTAACCCCAGTCATGAGGTCTGCAGCGCACAGAAATCCAGGACTGGGAGAAGCCTTTCAGTTTCACCATGACAGTTCACCTAGAAAGCCAGGCTTGCTCCCAACTAGAGTTGGTAATGCCTCACACCCAGACAGGGTAGGGCTAGTGCCTTGGAGGAGTAATTGTCAGGTTATTATATTGTGACTCCAAGATATTCCTCCTAAATTGGGGGCTGGGATGGGGATGGCTGGCCACACCCCTTTATTTCTTCTTTTGAACTGACTAACGAGAGGGAAGCATTAAGGTGGTAGAGTGCTTGCCTTGCATGCATGAGGTCCTGGGTTCGATTCCTCAGCACCACATAAGCAAGAAGAAAAAAGCCGGAAGTGGCGCTGTGGCTCAAGTGGTAGAGCGCTAGCCTTGAGCTGAAGAGCTGAGGGACAGCGCCCTGGCCCAGCGTTCAGGCCCCTGACCAAACCCTCCCCCCCACAAAAAAAAGGAGCTGAAAGAGGTGAGGTACCCTCATTATGTGGATGTGCAGCCTGTCCCACAGCCTTAGGGGGGATTTGATTCTGGACTCTCTCAGTGAGAAGTGCTACCCGAGATGGTAGAACACCAGCAGGCAGCCTTAAACAGCCACTGTTTCCCTCAAAATTGAGGCCTATGAACTCATTGAAGTAGTAGTTGTTACCTAACGATCCCACAGACAAACTTGGGAAGGTGAGACCAGAGATCTAGCCCACCCTGCTGTAACCTCTACTCCTGCTACTTTATAATTGGTTACTCTGTCCCTGCCCCCTGTCCTTGCCTCTCCAATCCTGACAGGTTATCTCGGCACCACACTGTACCTGCTACTCCTATCTTTACTACCCTATCCCTGACCCTCTTTCTCTGCACCCCAATCCCTAACCAGTAGAAGGCAGAGTGGACACAGCAAGTCTAATGGGCTTCTCTCCTCTTACATGCACATTAGGGTACAGCAGCCAGATAGCATTCTCTCAGGCCTTATAATTACTGGGCGGGGGCTGGAGGGAGCTAATTCAAGCCTGAGAAGGCAAAGGCTCCTAGGAGGTGGCATCAGCAGATCATTGGTTGCCAGGGAAGGAATGTGTCCAAGTGAAGGTTACTGCAAAAGACAAAATTTTATACAATGGAAACTGAGGGAGGAGAAGGGGAAATAGTTTCAAATTATTAATTTGTTTTCCAAATTACTTTATGGCAAAGGTTCATGATGTGTTTTTTAAATTATTTTATGGAATAGATTTACACATTAAATTCATTAGCTTATAGAGTAGTTTGTATGACTATATTCACAATATTTAGTATTTCATACTCTATTTCAGTATATTCATATGTCTGTCTTGGTCAGAAAGCATTGAGATGCAATAATGAGTTTGAATGTTTGTTCAAATACCTTAGAATAACATTTGAAACATGAGTAAAGATCAGAAAAATGAGTAAAGATGAAAGTTTGAAGGGAAAGGCCAATCTAAAATCAAATCTGGAAGGGTTAGAATGTTTTATGTTGTTATATGTTTAACTTTATGGAGTAGTTTTGCATTATTTGTGATATATACATTGCTTATACTATAGTATTGTATATTAATGTACATTTTCAATATTGAATTATATAATTTTTATATTCAACTGTCATAAGCATATTGAAGAGAGAAAGCATCATAAAATTTTAACACAGACAAAACAGTTTCTCAATTGAAAAAAAATGTATAAAACAAAATGTTTAAATGGGGATACAGGTTGACCCATTATAACAATGAGAAGTACAGACACTATGTTGAAAAATGAACTTTACAATTTAGGCCAGGGGCAGGAGGTGGGGTGAAGGGAGGAGAGGGGGAGTGTACTTGTGGAGGTGAGAGGGAAGGGATGATAGGGGAAAAACAAAGGAGGCAACAATACTTGATAAGAAATGTACTCATTACCTTGCTCATGTAACTGTAACCCCTCTGTACAGTATTTTCACAATAAAAAACATTAAAAAATGTGTAAAAATGTGAATAGTCCAAATGGAGGTGTACTGTACTGTAACTGTAAAATATATACTAAATATAGAACTTCATGGAATACAAAAATAAGAATCCTATACAGACTTTTTTTTGGGGGGTGGGGAGGTCTGGTCGTGGGGCCTGAACTCTGGGCCTGGGAGCTGTCCCTCAGCTCTACGTTAGCGCTCTACCACTTGAGCCACAGCGCCACTTCCGGCTTTTTTCCTTTTGCTTATGTGGTGCTGCGGAATCGAACCCAGGGCCTCATGCATGTAAGGCAAGCACTCTACCACTGAGCCACCTTCCCAGCCCTCCTATATAGACTTATAGACAGCATATCTATATTGTATAAAATGTCTCAAGAGTTTTTTGAAACCTATCAAAGATATGTATGTTGGATACTTTTTTCCTTGAATAAAACATTAAACTCATCGCTTCTGGTTCTGTTTATTTTACTGGGGAAGGTTGTTAGAAATCCCTGTTGTTTGTGATTTCTGAGCTACTGCAGCCTGCTGGTCCATGACACAAAGTAAGACATGAAAGGAAAGAAGAGTACCAGCTTCCTATGATGAAGTCATTGTCATCATAGCCCAATTTCTGGCTTTTTGGTGGCTAACTGGAGATAAGATCCTCATGGACTTTTGTGCCTGGGATGGCAATACTCAGTAGCTAGGATTACAAAGTTGAGCCACTGGCACCCAGTTGTTTTTTTTTGTTTTTTTTTTGTTTTTTAACGAGAACTGTGAGTCAGACATTACTGGCTCACTATAATCCTAACAAATGAAGAGGCTGAGATGTGGGAATATCTGTTAGGAACCATTCTAATATTTTTGCATGGAAAAATTAAAATGGTATAATTCCATAGAAAATGAACTCACAGTCCAATAAAATGAAAACCAGGAAATTAGTAATAGAGATGGAGTGGGAGACTAAGGGGAGGGAAATAAATAAATGAAGAGAGGAAGGGAGGAAAGCAGTCATAATATTGAATGCATGTCTTTTCAAAATCAGAAAATTGAGGGGAAGGATGGGATTGGGAAAGATAATGTTGAAAAGGGTGACATCTATTAAAAGGCATTTTATTCATAAACTGATTCACTGAATGTTAACTCTTTTGTACAACTATGTTAAGATAACTGAAGTTAAAAAAAAGCTCAAAGATGTAAGCCTATAAAGGACAATTTTCATAATACTTTCTTTTCTTTTTTTTTTTTTTGTCGGTTGTGGGTCCTGAACTCTGGGCCTGGGCACTGTCCCTTAGCTCTTCAGCTCAAGGCTAGTGCTCTACCACTTGAGCCACAGCACCACTTCCGGGTTTTTCTGCTTATGTGGTGCTGAGGGATCAAACCAAGGGCCTCATGCAGGCAAGGCAAGCACTCTACTACTGAGCCACCTTCCCAGCCCCATACTTTATTTTCTTAAAAGTGTTTTTCTTACCTTGGAGATGTGGCTAGATAAAACTGAGTTTCCAATTTTCTCCAAACAGCTTTGACCTATGCTTCCATCTCATGAATTCCAAGACAGTATTAAACGAATGCATATTTTCACAAATCTGTTCACAGGGAAAGAGAAAAAAGACAACTTTTATTTGTTAAAATAATACATGTAAGAGCAATAAAAATATATTGTGTAAAGTTATGTATTTTTACAGTCAATGAAAAATTCTAATTATTATTTTCCTAACCAATGACCAAGTAAGTCTATAAAGTTAATTCTGTGGGGGAAAATACCCTGTTTATTATGTTCCGTGTTAGCTTAAGGTTTTGAGGATCAAAAATCTTAATTTGAAAATAAGAACTGCTGGAAAAGTACTACTTATACAATTATACTGTATTCATATGTTTAACATGAACAAAAATGTATTTGAAGCTGGGTGCTAGTAGTTTATGCCTGTATTCCCAGCTACTCAGGAGGCTGAGCTCTGAAGATCACTGTTCAAAGCCAGCCTGGGCAGAAATGCCCATGATACTCTTTATCTCCAATTAACTATCAAAAAGGCCAGAAGTGGAGCTGTGGGGCGCAAGAGGTAGAGCTCTAGCCTGAGGCTTAGGAATAGCATCCAGGCCCTGAGTTCAAGCCCCACAACTGACAAAAAAAATAAAAATAAACAAAATAAAATTTAAAGGTAAATGTCATGTTTACAGATCCTAATAATTGTGTTGTATTCTTAGCTGAAATTTCAAATAATGAAATGTTTTTTATTATTTCAAAAGGAAATTTCAAAAGCTGTATTATTTTCATTCCATTGCAATTAAATGCCTTTGATTTCAAGACCATTTAGAAGCATCATTTGTGTCACACTGAGGCTTAACAGTGTTGGCAATAATGACTATATTCATGTAAACAAGGCCAATCTACAATGGTCAAACATACCAAATAGCAGTCTTCCTTAAAAGACAAAAGTCTCCACTCAGCAAACAGGCTGCCACAGGGCCATGCTAAATCTTTCATGGTCCAAGTAAAGCCAGCCTGACCTTGAAAGCAATTAGCTGTGCTTTTTCTGTTTAACTAGTCCCTAATATTTTTCAGAACTTCTATGATCATATAAATCTCGGATTGTTACTAAGAGAAATAAGAGGGCAAGAATGGTAGGTTTCATTGTTTCTCGAGACCTTCACAATCTTAAAGAATTGCCATAAAAAGATAAAATGCATTGTTTTCTACATAAGGGATGGCCTAAAGATTTTCCTCCAAAGTCATTCTTTGCCAACAATAATATTCCTCCCTAAGGCTGCAATGCTTGGTAAGAAATGTACGCATTATCCTGCCCATGTAATTGTAACCCCTCTGTACAGTATGTTCACAAAAAAAAAAATACTAACAACATGAAAAAATAAATAAATAATATTCCTCCCTAAAGGCATGTGAGGAAGGAGAGAGAGAAAACAATTACAGTATTAAATAAAGATCAAGGGCTGGGCTGTAACTCAATAGCAATGCGCTTGCCTAGCAAATGCAATGTCCTGGGTTCGATCACCAGTACCAAAAAAGAAAAGGGTGTGTGTGTGTGTGTTAATTGTATACACAGTTTTTAAAAAACCCAAACAAAAAAATAAAGGTCAAGTTCATCTAAGTCCATAATGTTCCTTTTCTTAAAATATAATAATAATATATTATAACAATATGTGTAATATGTTATAATAAAATATAATTCTACCAGATATTTTTAATAGATCAAATAATAACATATAAACCATTTTCAACTACTGTTCAGTATAACTGTAATTATTGAGCCAAGTACTAGATGGCTCATACTTGTAATCCTAGCTATTCAGGAGGCTAAGACCCAAGGATCACAATTCAAAGCTGCCTGGGGAGGAAAGTCTATGACTCTTATTTCTAATTAACCACCAGAAAACTGGAAATGGAGTTGTGGCTCAAAGTGGTAGAGCACTAACCTTGATCAAGGCCAGGCCCAGACCCTGAGTTCAAGCCCCATGACCAACAAAAATAAAATAAAATAAAAAACTAAAAGTAATTATTCTTTCCACAGGTTAAAAACTTCAGACTAAGTCCAAAAAGTTAATTTTTAAAAAGGAAAGCATATAACCAAACTAATTCTCTAAGTTCACAACTTCAGATTAATCTCTCTCTCTCTCTTGTGTGTATGCGCGCGTGCACTCTCTCTCTCATATATACAAACACTTGAGCCATACATGTCTGTAATCCTAGCTACTCAGAAGGCTCAGGTCTGAGAATCACAGTTCAAAAGCCAACCTGAGGAGACTCTGCTCTCCAATTAACCACCAAAAAGCTAGAAGTGGATCTGCAACTCAAGTGGTAGAGCACTTGGGCAAAAAGAGCTCTAGAACAGTGCCCAGGCCCTGATTTCAAGCTAGTATCAGCAGACACAGACACAGACACAGACACACACACACACCAAATTTCAGAAATTTTAGTTGGGATCTTAATCAAAAGATAGTACTATTAAAAACTCTCAATATACTAACAAATATTAAGCTACAGAAAAACGTAACTACAAGTAACTAAAAAAATATAATTTAAATTAGTTTACTATTCACATGTAACCATATTAACACCAAAACAATCTGCAGTGTTAATGTTCTAAAAGTTTATGTTTAATGTAAGATTGATTTTGAATCTCAAAATGCAGCCAAGTGTACTGGCTCACAGCAGTAATTCCAGGTGTTTGGGAGGTAGAAAACAAGAAGGATCCTAGTTCAAGGCCAGTCAGAGCAAGAAGTTTATCAAGACTCCACCCTAAACAAAATACACTAGGTATGCTGGTATGTACCAATGTACACAGAAAGACTGTGGTCCAAGCTGAACCCACGCAAAAATTCAAGATATAAAGCAAAAAAAAAGGGGGGGGCTGGATACATGGCTGAAGAAGGCCTTAAGTTCAAACTGCAATGATGCAAAAAACAGACTTTAGTGCACAATTATGTTTAAGGTTATTTCCTTCATATCAAACTTTTTTTGAGGGGGGGTGCTCTTTCTGGGGTTTTAACTCAGCATCCACTCTGTCTCTAAGCTTTTTAGCTCAAGGTTAGTGCTCTAGCAGTTGAGCCACATCTTCACTTCCAGCATTTTGGTGGTTAATTGGAGGTTAAGAATCTCATGGCTTTTGCTGCTCAAGCTGGCTTCAAACCATGATCCTCAGATCTCAGCTTCCTTAGTAGCTAAGATTACAGATGTGAACCCTGGTGCAGAGCTGAAACTAAGTTCTTAAAGATTTATTTGTACAGCATAGAATCTAGCATAAAGATTACAGTAGGATTTTAAGCAAATACTAGCTGATCTGAATCACTAAATAGTAATGACTCAGTGATATGAGATTGAGTTGTTCAGAAAATCTACCTATCTAAACTATGAAAGAAAGGCTTATTCCAGAAGAGATTAACAGAAAAAGATTCTTGGGCTAGCCAAATGGGGTAATTCCCATTCCCCCTACCAACTGGCAAAAGCTTAATTGTAATTCTTTTGCAGTAAGACAAGAATATGCTGGCTAGGGAACTTCTGGTAATGGATTTGCTAGCTTAAAGGAAAAAGTCAGATAGAAACAACCCCCTCTCACCCCCACTTTGTATACAACTCTAGATTAGAAATATAAAATCCAAGGCAGCCACTACAGGATCATGAGGAAGGGGACTACCTACAATGACAACCCAGTAGGTGAAGAAAGGCAGCAACATCAGAAGATGGAAAGAACTGGGCAGCTGGTAATAGTCTTTAATGTCATTCTAAATAATCTAGGGCCATCTTAACTTGGATTGTTATGTTATATTAAATTATATTGTTATGTTATATTAAATCCTCCACTGTTTAGGCAATTTTTAGTTGCTCAAAGTAACCCAAAAGACTTTTAGGAACAGATGAACCATTTATTTCCATGAATTATTGTCTACTCAATGATAACTACTAAATTTAGATCTCAGCTCAGATTTATCTTTCAAACTAGATACATGTTTCTAAACTACCAAACAACTCTATTAAATATTTATTCCAATGGAACATAAAGAGAACAGGATCAATATAAAAGCCATGATTTATGAGTACAAAACTGCTAATGCACGTGCAGTCACTTTTATTTTTGCCAGTTGTGGGGCCTGAACTCTGGGCCTGGGTGCTGTCCCTCAGCTCTTCAGCAAGGCTAGCACTCTACCACAGCAACACTTCCGGCTTTTTCTGCTTATGTGGTGCTGAGGAATCAAACCCAGGCCTCATGCATGTAAGACAAGCACTCTACCACTGAGCCACCTTCCCAGCCATGTGCAGTCACTGTTAAGCTAATGCCAGCATCATCAACCGAACTGTCAAATGTTAGAAATTGAGTGTGGGTGGGTGTGTGCACGAGCACACACGCACAGGAATGCATGCAGGCATTGAGCAAGAGCTGCTACAAGCTGCTACTGAAACCTGAACTCAGTGACTCATACTCTCCTTTGGCCATTTTTGCTTAAGGCTGGCATTCTACCACTTGAACCTACACCTCTAGTTCTGGCTTATTTTGATGGTTAATTCCGTGCAGTCTGGCTTTGAACCTTGATCCTAAGAAATAGCTAGGATTATAAGTCTGAGCAACCAGTGCCCCACAATGGTCTAAAGTCTTGGGATCACTAAGTCGAACCTTTCTTTGCTTTCATGTACTACATTTAGGCAATGGCTAAATAACAGGTGGATTAAAATCTGTCTTCCCCAACACATCATCTAGAGCATGCTATCATCTTTTAGGGACTCTCCTTGTTTCCAAATATAACTTTATGAGAAAAAGCAAATTAAAACAGTAAGATGCCACTCAATAGGCATTAAAAAAAGTTAATTTCAAGTGTTAAGATATGAAGAAATTATAACTGTCATACATTGATGAAAGGTAAAATGATTTAATAACTAGGAAATATTTTGTCAATTTCTTAAATAAAAACTGAAATTCATATGAGTCAAGATTTTTTCTCTATGGGGACTACCTAAATAAATATATATGTGCATGTATGTAGTACAAATACTAAGAGCAGTTTTCTTTAATATATATTTTTTATTGTAAAGATACTGTACAAAGGGGTTACAGTTACATGAGTAAAGTAATGAGTC